CGGGGGTGCAGAGTCTGTACCCCCCTCGCCCCCCACTGAGCCACATGGAGACTCAGAACAGGTCGACACTAGTGTTCAAGACACAACACAAACCCTTGGCTGCTCTGGTCTCCTGGCCGCTCCCTCCGAGCGCGCTGAGATGCCGGAGTTATAAATGCTTCTGCGCTTCGCAGGGTGCTCGTTTCCATTCCCGAGTGGAGGTGCCCCGACTCCAGCCTTGTGCTGCGCGAGTGAAGATTTAGCCGGGGAAGGAGGCCGCTCTCTTATGTAACTGCCCTCCTGGGAAGAGCAGTAGTTAGGACAGAGAGGAGACATTCCTTCTCCCTGTCTCCCTCCCGCTGCTGGGGTCACAGCTGAGTCAGCCCCAGGCGCTTCCCCTCCAGCCTCTGAGAAAGAGACCCCCTGGCGGGAGTCCCGCCTGAGCCAGGACCTCCCTGGCTGCGTGACCCTCAGCCTCAGTTTCCCTGTAGGAACGATGGGACGAGAGGGTCCGCCAGGATGAAGTAGGATAATGCCAGGGCAGTGCCTGGCACCCAGGGAGCCCCCAGAACTTCCAGCCTTCCAGCCCCCAGCCTTCCAGCCATCTGGCCTGACCCCGGATGACCCTGCCTCCCGTTCTGTTCTCCGGGCTGGGAAAGTGATCCCTGTTTGCAATACCAATTTATAAGAACCCGAGCCCGGGAGCTATTTAGAGGCAAGGCGATAAACCAGGAGGCCGGTGCCTTCATCCTGGTCAGCACAGCAGCGGGGAGGGACGCGCCTTCGAGGCGCTGACTCAGTGTCCGGCTCAGTTTCACTTCAGGCGATCAGCAGGTGCTGGTTCACCTGTCAATAGCTTCTAAATTTGTCCAATCCCCAAGGCATGGGGACCGGGACAGACCTAATTAGGCTAATTTCAGTTTCCTGAGGGAAAGGACTGAGCCTCCCATCCTGTGACCCTCCATCCGCTGCTCCTCCCAGCCCCCAGCCCTCCTTCCTGCCTCTCTCCCATTGGCCTGCGATAGACCAGGGAGCTGCCCCGGGTCTGCTGCCCGCACAGACTCCCAGGAGGGCCACGCGCCTTCCGTAGGAGAAGGACCCCCACTTCCCTCTAAAGGGACACTGTCCCTCCTGCCGGGGCAACAAGAATGGACGCACCTCTGTAACAGGCACCATCGTCCGGGCACTCCTCGTCCGTGATCCTATAAGGCCCTGACCTCGACCCATCTCACAGATTCCGATGCCGAGAGCCGCAACAGCTCAGATGGGCGTGCTGAGGAGGGTCCTAACTCAGATGGGATAGGCCGTGCCCAACCCTGGGTCAGGCCAGCTGCTTGCTGTTTAGGCTTCTGTGTCTACCTCGGGATTTCTCTAGTCATTGTTGTTATTTCCAAGCACCAGAGGACATCCAAGAAGGGTGGAACTAACATTTGCAGGCCACCTCCCGGGTGCCAGGCACCTTTAGTACTTGCTCATCTGGCTTCCCAACACCTTGCAAGGAAGCATCATCCGAAGCCACTTTACAAACAGGAAAACTGAGGCTCAGAGAGATGGTGACCTAAGGTCCCCCAGCCAGGAAGTGATGTAATAATATCTAGATTTGGCTGGAAGGTTGAAGAAGGTACAGGACAGAGACAGGAAATGGTGTGGGGTAACAACAGGAAGTGGTGGGGTAGTGACAGGAAGTGGTGAGGAATAGTAACGGAAGTGATGGGAATAACAACAGGAAGTGGTGGGGGATCCAAAGGAAGTGGTGTGGGAATAACAATGCCAAGAAATAAATGAGCTGGTGCCTTTTTCAGAGTCCTTGCTCGCTAGGGAGCGGCCAGGTGTTTCACTGGCTTGCTTTTAAAGTGGCTGCGGAAGCATCTTGCTATCAACAGCTACCAAATACTGAGGACTATGTATCAGGCTGTGGCCAAGAGTTCAGTTCCTCTGAACAACCCAAGGACATTGGCACTCTCATGAGTTCCACTGTCCAGGGAAGGAAACTGAGGTACAGTGAGGTGAAGTATGCAGCCCAAGGTCACAGAAGCAAGAAATGAGGGTTGGGAATTGACACCAGCCCTCTTGCTGGTGGGAGAGCTGGAGAAGCATCTTCCAGATCCGACACTGCACAGAGAACCAGGACCTGGCAGGGTGTGGTGCCTTGTGCGGGGCATGAGTGAATGGCAGGACAAGGCTGGAAGCCCAGCCTCCGAGGCCCCCTTTCTTGCCAGCATCCTATGCCAAATCAGTTGGCCCAGACTCCACAGGGTCTTTGTGTATTTGCATGTTTGTTTTTCTTTGTGGAGAAACCTGGGTATTTTAGACAAGACACTTTTTGGGTACAAGGGCTGTTGGTTCATTGGTTCCTAAGAACTCTGACCTGAGGGAAATACAAAAAGCACAAAGAGGTGACCCCTGACCCCATTTGTCTACTGAGTGGCCTGCTCAAGGTCCTGGGAGGATAAAATTAGAGTCTTGTGTTCTCTGCAGAAGCCAGGGCCTTCCGCTGCTGTGACTTCCTGCCTGCTTCCCAGGGGTGCCTGGAGGGAGGGCGGGGCCTGCTTTAAAAGGCTTTTGCAAACCCTGGCAACCCAAATACCTCCCACAGGCAGGCTCCAGAGTGCCTGACTCTCCACGGATGGGGTCCCTTGGCAAGTATTCCTTGGTCCCCAAATGCAGTCTAGTAAAAAGGTGCTACATGGGCTTCTTGGGGTGAGCAGCCGAAGAGCCCCTCATGTCTAGAGTGAGGGCCTGGGAGGTCGATGCAGGTTAGGAAACAGCAAGGACCAACAATTTCTCCATGAGCTCAGGTTGCCAGGTAGACGCGTGTCTCCTTTATCCCGGACAGAGTAGCTCATGCCCAGTGACAGGGATGCTGTCTCCGGCCAGTTTTCCACATTTAGTGGCAGGTTAAAGCTGGAGAGAGCTCATGTTTCCTGCCAGGACAGCCTCTCCACATGCATGAGGGGTGTTCCTGAGACCACAGCCAAGTGCTGCCCCTCCTCTGATTTTCCTCATGACCCTGACACTGTAACCCTCTGAGCCTCCATTTCCCCATCTGTAAAATGGGGATCATCCTACTTTCCTCCAGGGCTGTCATAAGCTGGTATTTGCTGACCCCTAGGGAGGACTCATGAGCCATCCCAACCATCCATCCGTCCGTCATCAGCCTCTCCATCCATCCATCCACCTGGCATTCTTTTATCACAGCTGCTTGTGTCCAGTCTGCTAGAAGGGTGATGAGCAAGACAGCCTCCCTGCCCTCCTGGAGTTTACATTCTAGCAGCGGGAGACTGACAAAAATAAGAACACAAATAAGATCAGAGCAGAGAGTGCTAAGGACCACGAAGTAAATAAAAAGGGCTAGTGTGACAGAGTTGCGGGGGTGGCGACATTTGAGCCGGGATGTGTCACTCTAGACCTAGGTCAAAGCAGGTCAGGAGCCTCGGGGGTGAAAAAGGAAGCCGAAGAACATGAATCGTGTCTGTGTGACCTTGGCCAGGCTTCCTGATTCTCGGGCCTCACTTTCCCCACCTGAAACATGCGGCGCAGGTGTCCCTCCAGGAGAGGCATGAGAACTGAATGAGCTAATACGGGCAAAGAAAGAAAAACCAACCAAGCCAATGCGAGGGGTCGTGGGGGACACAACCTGTGGGCAGTCGTCAATGCCAATCACAAACTATGAAACTGGACATTATTAATCAAAGTATTGACCATGAAAAAACACCTCAAAAGAACCACCTGCCCCAGTGGGGTGCTGGAGCATCTCAGGGGTTCGCAGCTGGGGACCCAGATGCCTGGACGCCGGCCCATGGGAGGAATTTTTTGCTTGGTGTTGGGGCACCGTCTCTGCCCCTCACTGTTATTGCTTGGGGGACCCTCCTCTGCCTACATGGAGTCAAAACCCTGGTCCCCACATCCCTGTCGCTTGCCCTTCCAGTCTCGGGCCAGCCTGTCATCGATGGTGTGTTTCCCAGGTCACGCCCCGGAAAGGTGAGGGGCCCCGCCCGCGCGGCTCCCCTGGTGGGGTCAGTGCCAGGGTGCTTCCCCCACGACCCCTCGCATTGGCTTGGTTGGTTTTCCTTTCTTTCCTTTTGTATTTTGAGGGTGTGAGCTTGCTGCAGAATGCGCTGTCCCTCCACCCGGCCACCGGAGCAACGTGCACATGACAGCACAAGATGAAACAGAGACCTGACAGCAAGTTGGCGGGGAGGGGCCCGGACTCCAGCGCTTGAATTTGGGCTCAGCCTAGAGGCTCTGAACCTCAGTTTTCCCTTCTGTGAAACAAGGAGAATTAAGTCCCAGTTTCCTGTGCAGATTAAATGAGCCAGAGCTCTGCTCATCATGAGCCCTGTGCACAGCCGCCCCTCTGAGCTGCACAGAGACAGCCACTCAGGGCTCCAGGATCCTGCTCGGCCCCCCTGAGGAGGGAGAGCTCAGCACTTCCGGAAACTGACTACTCGCCAGAACCACCCTTAACAAGCCCCCCCAGACCTCCTAAGTGAGGAACAGGGCCTGGAAACCCATGTCCTTTCCACCCCACTAGGAAGCCTGATGGGCAGTCTGGACATGTGGCCAAAACAGAGCTCAGGGGCCAGAGTCAGGCAGACCGGGCCCCGCATCCAGGCTCTGCCTCTCTTTTACTATCCATGTGACCTTGTCAAAACTGCTGGATGGGAAGCCTCAGTTTCCCCACATGTAGAACGGGAATAATGATACCATGTGGATCGTCATCAGGGGCAAATACTGTGCTTGGAAGGGTGACTGGCATCTGATAAACATTCAGAAGGTTGTTGCTATTAATGTTGCTATTACTGCAGCTAGATTCATAATCATCAGTGAGCGGCATGGCTCACCACTTCCCATCATGCATTCATTCAGTCCTGCACTCACTCATTCCGTCACTCCAGGCCTTCTGCACAGATGTGAGAGCCGAGAGACAGCATCACACAGAGGGCTAGTGGTCCAGCGATGGCCAGTCCCTCCGACACTCTCCCCCTCCGACTCAGCTCTTGTGTCGTTTTCTCTTGCAGAATTCTCCGCTCTGGTGGCTGAAAGCTAAGGGCTCTGCTGCCCCGGACTTCCACCTCTCTCCCCAGACACCGATCTCAGCCCCTCCTGCCACCCTCCTGAGTTTCTGTTCAGTTTATTTATGTTATTTTTTACTCCTCCCATCCCCTGCGGCCCTTGAATGACACCTTTCTTCTGGAAAATGCTGGAGAAACAATAAAGGCTGTACCAACCAGATTCTGCTGCCCAGGAGGTCCCAGGCCTGGTAGGGTGGGGAGCCTGGCGTGGCCTGCGCGACACCTGCACAGGTGGCAGGATTTAGACAGAAAAGATGGGTTGGAAGGGACATTTGCTGAGCTCCCCCTCTGCATTTGGTACTGAGTATGGTGCCTACCCGGGCCACCCATTCATCCTGGACACACGCCCACAGGTAGGTGATGAAACTCCCATTCTACAGATGTAGAAACTAAGTCTTGGACAGGGAAGTGATGTGGCTAAGCCGCAAGAGCTAGGACTTGTGGGTGGGAGGGCGGGTGGATGATTGGATGGGTGGGTGGGTGGGTGGATGGACAGATGCACGAACAAATGGATAGATAGATGGACACCCATGAAACTCTTTTTGCTACAAATCACAGAAAGCCAATTCAAAGTAACCTAAGACCAAAAAAAGGAAGAAGCAGAAGAAGAAGAAGAAGAAGAAGAAGAAGAAGAAGAAACAGACTTGTTCGGGCAGCAGCCAGGGGGCAGGTCTTCAGGAGCCCCTGGGGCAGGGGCTGAGTGGCCACCAGGACTAGGACTGCTTCTCTCTGCAGGACGGGGTGTCTCACAGCCTCACCCTGCGGTGGTAAGATTCCCCCCAGAGCTCCAGGATGCAGTCCGCAATACCAGTTAAAAAAACACCCTTTTCTTTCCCAGCCACTCCATCACAAGGCCCCAAGTTCAGGCCCTCAGCACCCGTGGCTAACGTTTGTGGAGAACTCCCGTGCTGGCCTCTATACGAGTCCGCCTGCACACATACCGGCGCCGCAGGCGCTGTGACCAGGCGCGCACAGACCGTGGCACAGACAAGGGGGAGCACGGAGGCATTGAGTGTGGGCCCCAGAAGAGTAAGTGGTGGGGCCAGGACCCCAGCCTCTTCCAGACCCCACGTCCCTCCCACAACCGGTCACAGTGGCCAGAAGTTGGGGCCCTGATGAGCTCCCTCCATGGGGCCCGTCTGTGGGGACACGTGGTGAGTCGCACAGAAAGCTCTTGGTCTGAGAGCGGGGAGAGGTGCCCCAGGGAAATCACAAGTAGGGACGAAAGCTGGGGGTGCGCAGGGCAGCAGCCCTACAGAGAGTGTCTGCTCTTTCCCAGGAGAGCCTGGGGTGGGGTGTCCTCCACAGGGGGGGTGCTAGAGGGTCTCTTTACATGTTGGGGTTTCATGTCCAGCAGTTCCACCTGACACTTCCCTGGGTCCTGAGCTGCCCCTGGGGCAGGGCTGTCGGGGGGCTCCAGCGAGGTCGGGCCAGGACCAGCACCCCCGTCAGGATGCAGGCTGCGAGGCAGGGTGGAGAAGCCATGCCCAGATGGGAGCCTGACAGAGTGAGCAGGACCAGGCCTGGGAGGGGCCTCAGGGGGTCAAAGCAGCAGCTTGTCCTGCAGGCCCCCTGCAGTGGGCTCAGCCAGGGCCTGGAACTTGAGGGTGGGGGGCCCGGCTGTGGACTGGGCAGCAGGTGGGCCAGAGATGGTGCAGGAGGAAGGGGACTGGGTGAAGGGGTGAGCCTGGGCAGGCAGGCAGGCAGGGGTGCAGGCACACACGTGCCACTGGCAGCAGTGAGGACCAGGGCAGACCCAGGGGGTCCAAGGAGCCCAGCCTTGAACATGGAGGGCCGGGGGTGCTAGGAAGAAGGCGGGGTCCCCTGTGGAAAGCAGGGGGAGGGGCCGGGACTGGGGAGCCCAGCATCTTCCTGAAACCAACTCAGGGCCCTGTGAGGAAGACAGGCAGGTCAGAGCAACAGTGACAGCTGCCACTGCCTGCCGCCCAGGGCGGCCTTCAGCATCTCCTGCCCACCCCCAGTGACAGCCCTCACGTGGCAGTTCAGACTCGGGGCGGGCAGCACGTGGCTGTTCGACCTCAGAAGGGACACAGAACATTGGCTCCAGGGCCCTGTCACAGAAGGACCTGCCTGGAGCCCGGTGAGGACAAGGTCAGGACAAGGTGGGGGCCACGGGGGGAGGCGTGATGACAAGGACAGGAGATGGACTGTCACTTGCCGAGCACCCCGCCTCTTGCCTTTACGTCGCTCTCCATCAGGCCCCGCCACCCTATCGTCACCCCATCGCCCACTGGGGAATCCAGGCCTGAGCCCGGGTCAGGGGAGGGGCGACTCTCCGGCTGGTGAAGCGCCTCAACTGGGACTTTGGGCCTCTTTGCCCATGAGGCCACCCCTCAGCCCCCATTTGTAGCTCAGATGTGGCATGTTATACAGTGACTGTAGCGCCAGCAAGGCACGGAGCGGGACCTCTATGATCCTGGAGCCCTCGGAGGCTTTTCAGGCTTTTATTGAGCGTGTTACATCACATGTAGCGCGGCAGCCAGGTGCACGGCGGGCAGGGAACCCGGGGGGCCAGGAGGCTGGTGGGTCTCCCAGTCCCCGGCGAATCTTCACTCTTCCTGGGCTCTCCGGCGTTCTCTCGGGGTCTCTGCTGCTCTGCTTCTCCTTTGCTGCTCTGCTGGTTCTGCTCTCGGTCTGTTGCTGTTTTCTCCTGGCGTCCCCATGACACTGCCCTTGTAGGCCCAGTCTCTCAGCCCAGGGGTGCCCACCTGTGCACGCCCACGCCCTACTCCAGGTGTCCGCCATCAAGCACACGCATAGGACCGCAGGGGCCTGTCATTAAAGCTAATGGCGGGAGGGCGGAAAATCCTGATAATTCTCATTCACCCTACACTGACCTTTTGGGAGGAACCTGGATTCAACCAGGCTCTGAGATGCTGGTAGGAGCTGCCCCAACCAGTGGCCCAGCTACTGGTCTCTCTTTCCACCCCCAGAGCTCTTTCCAAAACAGATCAGACCCCCTTGTTCTGCCTAAAGCTGCTCATGACCGTCCCATGCAGAGTGAACCCCAGGCCCAATGCAGCCTACTTTGCCCAGCAGGAAGGCCTCATCGCCCCTCACCCTCCTCCACTCTGCCCTGCTCCCTCCCTCATCTCTCCGTCCAGTTTCCTCAGCTGCACCACCCTGCCCTGCCCACCCCTGGTTCAGTCCTGTTAGCCTCAGGAAAACCGCCTGGATGGACACCCCCACCTGGATTCCCTCTGCAAGTGCTTAATCACAAGTGAAATGGAGAACAAGTTGTTGGCCTAATTCAAAACCCTGTTGCCCAGAGACCCTGAGGTGCCTGAGGGCACTTCTGTGAGGCCCCTGCTGGATCCCAGGCCTGGCATACCGAAAGGTTTCATGATGGAGAGGTGGCTGGGGACCCAAGTGGCCAGTGAGTCACTCAAGGCTATGCATGGGGATGCACTATCCAGGATGTAAACTAGGGTGGAGTGACCAGGAGCTATTTCCTGGGGGGCTCCATTGTTCCCAGTGGTCAAAGCACATAATCTCTATTCTATAGTCTGCCTGCTCTTTTCAGTATGTTCCTCATACTAGGACTTTTACCCTTGGTGAGAGGCCCCCTGCATGACCCTACACCTGTTACAGGACCAGCAAAGGGGCACCCCCAGAACCCCCAAACCTGCCCACTCTAAATAGGCCGTCCGCCACATCATTATACTCTATGTGTAAGACCTTTAATGGCAAGGAACTTTAATACAATTAGTGTGCAACAAAGAATATAGGTTCCAAATCAAGCACCCCAAGTTACCCATCCCCTTGTGAGTAAATGTCCAGCCAAATAGTGTTGGCCCAAAGCAGGGCCACCGAGGCCCGAAAGCTTGCCACAAGTCCAAAGCACCTTCCATGGAGACCCATAGAAAAGGGCCCAGAAATAGCCAGACAAGTCTGGAGGGAAAAGAGCAAAATCAAAATTGAGATAAAAGCTGCCATCGTTGACCTCCCCACGTCCGTTCCAACTAGTCCAAAGCCAAGAAGCAAGTGCAGCTTCTCCACATCTCCCTCTGCTCCGTCCCTCCTCCAGTCTCCTGGCCCCCCTCCTCCCTCCTTCCTTCTCCACTCTCCTCTCCAGAGTCTCCTCCTCCCTGCTCAGCCCCACCTTTCCTTGGGTGGGGCAGGGAACCAGGAACCTCCCCTTTTCCTGGGGACCACCTTGTGACAATGCCAGCACTGGGATTTGAACCACAGGGGTCTGGCCTCAGAGCTGGCCTTCCCCACAGCGCTGCACTGCCAGTCACTGCCGACATGGGTCACTGCTGTGTGGCGTGGACAGGACAATGGAGCAGGCGACGTGTGAGCTGAGAAAAGCATGATAGCAGTGAACGAGGTGCCGGGTAAATGAAACAGTCCAGCTCTCACGCCACTGGCCTCTGTGGCCATCACCTGCGGCCCTGAAGGCGCTTGGGAGTGTGGGCTCGGGGCATGCGGGCCTGATGGCAGACTCCCGGGGCATGGTGTGGGCATGCGTAAGTGTGCACACCTGAGCCTAGAGGCGGAGGCTATAAGGGGCGGCCTCACTCAGAGGCAGACACTGCTACAGCGGGAAGGCTGCGAGAGGGCGAGGGACGGCTGTGAGAGGAAGAGAGTGTTAAGAATTGCCAGGGACTGGGAGGCCTGCCAGCCTCCTGGCCCCCCGGCCTCCTTGCCTTGCCAGCCTGCAGGCTTGCCCCACAACAACCGGCATAGAAAGAGCATCAAAGCCTGAAAAAGCCACTGAGAGCTCAGGACTCTCCTTCAGCTGCCTGACTCGATAGAGAAAGTGCCCTGTGCTTTGCTTGGGCTACACTAGGCTCGGAGGGGACCGCAGAGGCAAAGGCCCTGAGGCAGGCAAGGCTGGTCAAACCTGCGCGTGGAGACAGCTCTCCACCCTGGGCACAGGAAGTGAGAAGCTAGAGAGAGGCTGTGGCAGCATGGGAGCTGGACTTGGTGATAATTAAAAAAAAATAGTGGAGTTCCGGCACGCTGGGTGCCGACATGGAACCTCTCCCAAGTATACTGCTAGATGGAAAAAGCAAAGCCCAGAACAGTACGCGAGACGGTGTCTGGGGAGGGAATGCGCATCTGCTGGGATGTGTGTCGAGCATGTCCGAAGGTTGTCATGACACTAGAGCTCCGGGGATGAGAGTTGCAGGCCTGTGGTCCGGGGGGAAGGGCGTCTGCATAGTCTTCTCTAGCATCTAAATTTTAAACCTAGGGAAGAGATTGTCCAGGATTTTAAAGATGACACTGGTTGTTGGGTGGCAAGTACATGGGGGGTGGGGAGCGGGGCCAGTGTCCAGAATAAATTCAGGGAAATTATGAAAGAATGATGCTAAGTTTGTTTCAGGAGGACAAGTTAAAATAGGAAAGTTCTGGCTGGGAAGGGTGCTGTGTCACTCGACAAGGGGCAGGAGGGTGTGATGAGTGGAAGGGGGTAAGGAACTCAGAACAATGGCGTTGAGCTTAATTTTGCCCACAGCAGAATTTGTCCTGCGTTCAGACTGGCCAGACATGGACAGACATGCTAGGGGGAATGTTCTAGAAAAGCAAAGCCTGGCTCTTGCAGATGAACTAGCACTCAGGTAGCTGCAGCCTCAGGTAGCTCTGGGAGAATGATTTGCTCAACTCGAAATACACGCAGCAGCTAAGTAAATCAAAACGCCGCCAGCTCTGGGCACTTGCCTGCAGCAGGCATTTTCCAGCTGCTGCTGCCCTCTGCTGACGGAATTGGAGCATCTCAGCCTCCGTGCTGTTGCGAGGCTTGGCCTCCCGGCTCCACTTTGCATTCCGGGCGCGCAGAAGGTGAGTCAGTCACATTTCCCCTGCCCTTTATGGAGATGGCCACCGCCAAGCACTGCATCAGTGGAGGCATAAACAACCAGACCCACATGAACAGTAGAAAACCGAACAGCAAAGGTCATTACTCTGCGACGGCAGTGTACAGCGGGCAGATGGACACAGTGCATTAGAGGAAAGTGTGAAACAGCTCTCACTGCAGCATTATAGATCACCCTCGGGGACCCATCAGCATCCCAATGGCTGTTAATAAGAGCTGGTGTTGACTGAGTCTCACTGCCCCTCAGGCGCTTGTTCTAGACCCTTTACATGAGTTAATTCATCTGATCCTCCTATACCCACGGGAGCAGGGATGAGGAAACAGGCACGAGGAGCTTATGAGGCAAAGCAGGATTCAAATCCATATAGTCTAAGTCCCAGTCCTTGGCATTCTCAATTTTAAAATCAATCTTCTCTAATCATTGAGTTCACACATCTTTGGTCTTCATCCCAGTACAGTTCTGTGCTCTTCCCAGCCCCGGGACCTTTGGTAATACTGCAGGTTGTCACTAGGGTCAAGATTCTGACATCTAGTAGGTAGAGACCAGGGATCCTGCCAATTATCCTATAATGCACAGAACTGTCCGCTCCCTCCCCCAACAGAGAATCATACAGCTCAAAATGTGAATAGAGCCGAGGTGAGAAGCCCTGATCCACGGACATGAAATCTCTTAAATTCACTGGCCCTCTTTTGCTTTGCCCTTTAACATGAGGGCCTACTTACATATGAAACATATTCTTGAAAATTCATACCAAGTAATTCTCAAGAGGCTTCCCCCTGAATCCCCCTTAATGCCTCTTATTGATCCAAGGGGTAAATAAGTTTGTCTTCCAGTGGAAGGGCAGATAGTATCAAATAACTATGGAGCATCATACCTGGTAGTGATGAGTGCTATGAAGAAAGTAAAGCCAAGCAAGGAGACTGAGGCTGACAGATTGGGGGAGATTCTTTAAATCGGGTGCTTGGGAGGGTCTCTCCCAGGAGATGACATTTGAACAGAGATCTGTGGGGCATGAAGGAAAGAGTCCTCTGCACAGCCATGCAGCAAACAGTTAAGGGCACAGGTCCTGAGTAGGAATGGTCTTGGGGAGTTTGAGAAATAGCGAAATGACCAGAGAAAGTGAATAAAGGTGGGTCCTGGTCTTACCAACGAGCAGTGCTGCTCAAATGTGGGCTGCCCCTGAATCACCAAAAAGTATTCGGAAAAGATAAGAGCATGGTCCCACCCTCCAGTGTTCAGCTGTTCTGAAGTGGGGCCTGGGAATCTACATTTCTAACAAGTGTGTGTGGTGCCGAAGCTGCTGTCGAGGGGCCACAGTGCAGGGTCTTTCTTCCTTGAGGCAACAAGTCTTTTTCTATTCCACACCGCCCACAAGCATAGAGAACCATGGCTTCATCACCTGCCTCTTTTTTTTCATAGTATTTTTTTGGATTATTTTATTTTATATTTTGCAATTTTTTTTTCCATAGTACTTTGGGGGGGGTATTTTTTATTGCAAAATATAAAATCAAAAATAAAAAAAAATACTATGGAAAAAAATTACAAAATGTAAAATTTTTAAAAATCCAAAAAAATGCTATAAAAATTGCAAAATATAAAATAAACAAATCACCTGCCTCTTTACAGCTCTGGCTGTTCCCTGAGAATGGAGCGACAGTGGTTCTGTCCATGGTGCTGAGAAGGCACTCAAAAAAAATTTGTTGACTGAATTCCTCAAAGGTGGCCTCCTTTTCTTTTGCCATTCTGCTGTAACGCTGGCTCCAAGCAAATGCTTAGGTCAGGGCTACCTTGGCCAGACTTATCTGTGATGAGACCCCCCACTCCAGAGATCCCCCATACCAGATGCTGGCTCCACTCCACATCTCCATGTTTACCCGTGATGTCCTTTCTCCCGTGTCCACCTTGTAAATTCCTACCCATTCTTCGAGGCTCTCCTTCCAGAATATTCTTCCGAATGTCGCTCCAGCTATCCAGAGTTAGGGGTGTTCCTCGGGTCCTGCATCCACAAGTCCAAGGATTTGTCTTCCTTCCTCCACTGGAGTCACAAGCAGGCAGCTCCCAGATTGAACCAGTCAACAGAGAGGTGTTCTACTGCGGTTGTCATGACCTAAAATTTAAGTTCATTGCCAAAATTTGAGCATCCGATGATTTCACACAAAAATCCCAATTCCAGACTCCTCTGGAAAAGTCAGACCCAGGCACAGCCGTGAGCTGCCAGAGCTGCCTGGGAGTCTGGCACGTCCACCTCGTGGTCCCAGCATCCGGCAGCACCAACCTGGCCCAGGGTGGACACTCAAGAAAAATTCATGAATGAAACCAGAAAGACTACACCAGGTAATGGCGGGGGGGGACCACACTCTCCCAAGAACAGAAGACCTGAGGGGGTTCCGATTCTAGCTGACTTGTCGTCCAACCTTGGGCTCTCTTTGGACCTCAGTTTCCTTGCCTGTTAAACTGAAGTAGTGATAATTTCCACTTCCCGGAGCTGTTACCTCAAAGCAGACAGAGGGCGGGAAGTGCTGCCTGGCATACAACGCTCACCTGGTGTGAGGAACCCGGGAAATACTCGCTCTCTGGGCGACGACGCACGAGAGGGATTGGTGGCCCTGTGGGGCCAGTGGGTGGACACAGCCCCGCGTCCAATCCCCGTCCTGCTGGGCACTAACTCCGTGGCCTTGGGCATCCACCTGACTCCACTTCCCCTGGGAAGATGTCGGGTTGGGAGGTGCGGTGTGGACCCCAGGGCGAGAGGGGCCTCGCGGAGAAGCCAGCGCTGCGGGGGACTCGGTTTCGTCCACACGAGTGTGTGACACACTCTCCACCGCACGGGAGGCAAGAACTCCAACTCCCCAACCCACCGCTCATCCTCCAAGTTTAATCCCCTTTTTTCACAGACATCACTTTTTTTTAAGGTTTATTTATTTATGCATACAAGAACTGGGGTACAGGCCAGAGATGGGGGGGGTGAGAGGATTCAACAGAGACAGAGTGGGGAGCAGAACAGATGGACTGAAATACACTGCTGAGAGGAGCAGCGGGCGAGACAGGCGAGGTCTGCCGCGCCATGTGGGTAGCTCCCTGGCCGGCCGGGGATCGAACCCGCGCTGCAGAGGCTGCGGATTGCTTCACTGTGCAGTGCTCAACCCCTTGCACCACCAGGGAGGCCCCACAGACATCACTTTAAACACACATATTTTATATTTTAAAGCGCATAACCTCTCTGGTCTTTAAAAATGAGGTTTCCCTGCGGGACTTGGCGCAAGGACCGAACTCGGGGCCCGGGCGGACGCTCCACTCCCGCGGCTGCGGCCTCGTCGACTGCGCAGGCGCAGCCCCAGATTCCAGCGGGCCCGAGCGGCCCCTCGTGGACGAGCCCATTTCCTGAAGGAGCGGGGGGTGCGGCGAATCCCCATTCCTCGCAAGATGGTCCAAGCCAGCCTCTAGCCAATCAGAAGGAGTCTTTTATCGCCGCTTCTCGCTACAAGGGATGGGCGCTCCTTGTCGTTGGTGCGATGATTGGCATTTTGTGCAGCCGTTCGCCAAGCGGAAAAGCTTGAAGAGCAAATATCACTGCGAATAGTCTCCCAAGAAAGAGGCATTAGCCACGCCCCCTCCTGCCACTGGTCCCGGCAGCCTTCGGGGCGGGAGCTGGTGCTGGCAGCCAATCGCGGACCAGCGAGGGCCGGGGGCGGGGCCGGCGGGGGCGGGGCTGGCGGGCGCTGGTTGCCTTGCGCACGCGTCTGGCTCGGTGCTCGGGCCGGGGCGCTGCTGGTGGCTCTTCCGGGTCCCCGCGACCGGGGGGGCTGCACGGAGAGGCTGGACGGGGGCGGGAGTCACGTTGTCCCCCGAGTGCCCTTCCAGGCTGCCTTCTGGGCCTTGAGCCGGGCCCCATCAGGGGTTGCCCTGCGCCCCCGCCCCAGCCCTAGCGCGCGCCGTCCGCCCCCAGCGCACCCCCGAGGGTCCCCACCGCGGCCGAGGCCCCTGGGGTGTCAGGCCCCCACCCCCCCACCCCGCCCCCGGCAGGCCACGCACGACTCGGGCCGCGGCGCTTCCCCTCTCTGGGCCGTGGAAGTGGTTGGTTACCATGGTGAAGCTGGCAGCCAAATGCATCCTGGCAGGTGAGTCTGAGCACTGGACACCGGCTTCCAGGCCCAGAGGCCTCGAAGTCATCGAGAGCTTTGTTCACGGAAACTGTCCGCCCGCCTTCCCCTTCTCGCTCCCCAAGGCCAGTTCATGCAATTGCTGATGGAGTAAATTCCATTAGGCATGGAAGAATTAGCTTCCAGAGCACATTTGTAGCTTCAGCCGATTCCCCCCTCTTGCCGTGCTCAGAGGCCCCTGCACAGGGCAGCCTGCTCGGGTGTCCACGCCTGCAAAAGCCAGGCTCGCACACCAGGCGTGCTCCAGGTCAACCCCGTGTGGAGCCCAGAGTTAGGCACCAGTGACTGGTAGTGTTTATTTAAGGGATTTCCCCCCCTGAAAACAGGAATAGGAGCTCGTAATGTCCAGTTGGCCAGCGTTCGCAGGCGGCCGGGGTGGTTGTCTTTACACAGACCCAGAGTTACAGTGCTCAGGAGGAGGGAGCATGAGACCCCCGAAGGCAGGAATCTTTGATACATGAGAACTTCGTGGGTGCTCAATAAATATTTGCTGAGTGAATGAATGTGTGACCTTTACATTTGCGGGGCCTCTTTCTATCAGTTTGTACATTTAAAATGACTTTTGCCTGGATTGTAGACCTGGGGCCACAGAAGACGTGCATATTGAGTACACTGAGCCCTCCCTGCGTGCCAGGCACATGTATGTCATTGAATCAGGTCACGGAGCACACTGGGGGAGGTGCTGTATGCTCTGATCGCCCAGAAGCACTGCGAGGTGAAGTCCATCCGCGTAGGAAGGTCACCAACAGGAATTTAACCCCCGGGTCTGTCCATCTCTAGAGCCACTTGTGTCACTGTTGAAACCTGTGACCTGCCCTGGGTTCCCTAACCAGCTCAGAGGAGAAGCAGTAAGAGATTACATAAAGGGAAAAGATTTTTTTTTCTTTTTTCTTTTTTTTTTTTTTGATTCCTCTCTTCCAGACTGAAAATAGATATATTTTTAATGACTTTTTTAATTTGGAAATAAAAGGGTCACAGAGAAAGGAGACTGGGATAAGACTATCAAATCCTACTGGAGCAAAAGAAATTAGTGGTTCTCAGGAGAGGTCTGCAGTTCCCAGAATGCCAGGGGAGGCAGCATTGTGTAAGGGAAGTGATTCTGGCAGGTCTCAGTGACTGTCACCTTGGGTCATCTGAGCCTCAGTTTCCTCGGATGGGGGGGGTACAAATTTTATTTTCTGAAACTGGAATTTTTTTATTGTTAACCAGCTTCTCTCTCTGACTGTTCTTTCTCTTGTTTTTTAATTTAACTTCCATCGTGGAAAAGGTGTGTTACACCCCCAGCACAGCTCTCGCTGAATTCTCACAGCAGCCCTGTGGGGGTGGGGGTGGTATTACTGTCATCGTCTACAGCCAGGGCAGCCGAGGCCCAGAGAGGTTGGGACCGTGCCCTCACCACAACGTGAAGGAATGTGGCGGGGCTGAGACCCAGGCCCAGGAGATCTGATTTCTAGAGCTTTGTTGCTGGACCCATGCTGGACTCCAAATCTTTGCCTTTCTTTCCACCCATCCCATCAGGTACTTGTTCTACCTGATTTCAGCCACTGTCTGGGGAAGTGATTCCTGATGTACAGCAGAGCTCTCAGCCCGTACCCCCTTTAGGCCTCAAGTGTATCTCCTCCTCTTAGAGTTTCCAGGGACCCAGAGACCTCAGCCCAGTGAATCAAGCTCCCGGCTACCACCCAGTAGCACATTCTCGTCCTCCCACCCCTCACCTTTCTCCTCACAGGCCTACTGTTGACAGCAAATTAATCTTTTTTTTTTTTCTATACACATAACTGGTCATTGAGGTCATTCTATACACATAACTGGTCATAACTGGTCATCAGCCCAAGTGTTTATTCACTAAGTGGATGCTTGTTGGGCACCAGGCAGGTGCTCAGAGGTGAATTGGGCAGGCCCTCCACCCAGGGAAGTGCTACCATGCATATCGCAGTCATCAGGCTGCAGCTGCAAATTAAACGCCCTTCATGCACCAAACACCAGAGCAGTTCCTCCAAGCTCAGCTGCCAGTCCTGGCCAAGATGAAGCGAGGAAATAGCGCTGGACATGCATCTCCATTTTATTTACTTAAATATTACTTTACACATGCCAGGCACTGTATGTATTAATGCCTTAAATCCTCTTAGCTCTTAGCGGTGGCTGCTGTTTTTGTGCCCATTTTGCAGATGTGGCTGCTGAGGCCTGAGACATGAACTGACCTTTAGTCACGCAGCTAGTTAGAATGAGCTGTCCCTCAGGAACCCTGACACACTGCCTCCTGGAGGGTTGCTCTGACATCTAGTCTTGTCCCACCAGCCAAGGGCCATGCTAGCCACACAGGTAGATGAAGGAGGGAGAGAGGTCACCTTCAGAGGCCACTGAGCTTTGCCCTTTAGGGAACAGGCAGATTTGCATTGGGAAAACCCAACAGAAGGTTATCTTCGAGGAATTTGAGGGGATCACAATAATAGGAGCCCCGATTTTTGTGCACAGGGTAGTAGAGTCGGGAGGTGAGTTGGGGCTGACTGCGGAGGCTAAGGCAGTGGGGGGAGTCCTTGGGAAGGGTTTTCAATCAAAACAAAAAACTAGGCATTTCAACTTAGAAATGTTAATCTACAGAATTGGTTGGTCTCTTCCTATGGATGGAGAACCCACAAAGCAAGAAAACACAGAGGTGACAGACATGCAGAGAGTCAGGGTTGTCGGGAAGCTTGAAGAACACCACGGAGCTGGGACCCAGGCTCTGAGCAGACAAGCCGAGATTGGGTGGCGGCTCTTGGTCCAGTGCTGGGTTGTTGAAAATGAAGATGGCTTAGGCAAGCGACCCTGGCATGAGAAATGGCAGCCAAGGTGATGAGAGTACATTTTCGAGGACAGGCCCACAGGGGTGCCCACGTGGGAGGCAGAGCAGGCAGGGGGCTCAGGAAGGAGGGGCTGCTACCGGCCTGCTCACCTTGTGCCCAGACCTGAGCAGGGACCCGTGGACTTCGCACTGGGAGGCCGTGGGTGACCTTGCATGGGCCTCTGCAGACGTCACCCTCTGTCAAGCAGTGCCCCTCCCATCGTCTCTCCCAGGTCAGCCTCGCCTCTAGGGAAGTCAGCCCACGGGTAAAGCTGCTGGCTCCTTCTTCCCTCCACGCGCCCTTCCTCCATGCTTCCGTTCTCAGTTTGCACTATTTGAACTTGCACTTGGCATCTTGCTGCTCTGCTAATGTGTTTATCAGCTATTTCCCTCCCTGTGCTCAGATCCCTCCACAGCCAACACAGGAGGCTTTCCGTAAGTGTGGGTGCCTCTGACTGACATTAGGAGCAAAGATTTATGAAATTAACCAGAACAAATCTGTGGGGAATTTCGCAAGCGGGAGAGCCAATTTCCAACTGGATTCAGAAGCAAAATTGGAGTCGGGAGGGCGGATCGGTCACAGCACAGGAGGGGACGTGCAGTGGCCTGTTTGTTCCCAGCCGGGTGGGTCCCCAGAGACCGTCCACCCCTGGCTGCCCCCGAGGTCACGGAGCCCGCAGGAACAGTGCTGGAAGTGGGTCAGGAACAGTCCCGAGCTCGGGGAGCGCAGCGGGTCCGGTGGAGCGCGGGCGGTGTTGGCATCCCAGCCAGGTGACCCAGCTTCTCAGCCTCGGTCTCTCCTGTCACATGAGGTTAATGGTGGTCGTGGGGATTGGGAGGGAGGGAGGGCGAGTGGATGAATGGGCCCTCTGGGGAACACATTGGCTCCCTTCTGAGAAGTGGTGGCAAATAAAGAGCCAGACCTGAATAGCTCACTCAAACCTGGAGGAGTTAACGTGAAATTAAATGCCACAAGTAGTCAAATAATTGTTTCACAAGAGAAAATAATAGGTGGGAAAAGTCAAAACTGAAAAGCGAACAGAGCAGCAGGCAATCAAAAGTCAAGGCAAGAGAAGCACCGAAGCTGACGGTAGAATAGGTGGCAAAGGCAGAGATTGTAGTAAAGGCAGCGCGTTGGAAGGAGGCGAGTTGGGTGGTGGTGGCTAAGGATGCAGAGGGCAGAGAAGCAGAAAGCAGGCTCTTCTGGGGGCACAGGGCCACTGGCAAGAGGGGAGGGCTCAGGGGGGTTAAGGATGGGCACCCAGCACCTCCAGCACCCTCTGGGGCACAGGAGGAACCCCAAATTAAATTGCTCCCAACTATCTGGTGAACGTTGCACATCTCAGATCAAAACTGACATAAACCTTTAGTTTCCAGGGACCCACGTCGTGGGCTGTCACTAACAAAAAGCAAAGCCCTGCTGGGTAATCCAGTTGGTACAAGCTGAGCTTGGACAGCACAACTGCTACTGCAGATAGAATTGGGAAGGATGCAGTGGTCTCCCATGGGCACCCCAAGGTGAAGGTGGAGTAGATCACTTGGGAATGGATTTCAGGATGGCGAGTGTAGCAATGGACTTCTTGTTCCCCATACATGCAGAACCTTCCCCCCATCCCTCAGTACCCCCCTAAAAAACATGCTGGGTCCTCAGTGGAAGTGCTGTACTCAGAATGGCTTGGTTAAATGAGTCACAAGTCTGCCTGGCCTGACCTGACCTTCCAGACGTCAGAGTAAGTTCCAGTATGAAAGTGACGGTTTTCCCATCGGCGTTTCATTGCGGGAGTGTCAGTCCTATTTCCAGGGCTCTAACCCCCCCTTAAGCTCTGTTACCTTCGGGGTCAATTCTTCTGGATGGAAAGATTAGCCCTGCAGATATGGGGCTCTGGCCCTGATGGGGATTGGAGATTGGGCTTCTCAACCCATCGCCCTGCCTGCGACCTCAGAGCATGTGCCCGGGGAAGTCCAGTTTCTCTGAAAACATTGAGGTGTTCGCTTTCCTAGACTGGTGTCCCAGAGAGGGGGAGCATCAGGCTGGATCGGGGTGGAGGTGGTGTTTGTCCTGATGTTTGTCCTGCTCTGGCCCCGCAGGCGACCCCGCTGTGGGCAAGACCGCCCTTGCGCAGAGCTTCCGCACCGACGGAGCCCACTTCCAGAAGAACTACACCCTGGTGAGATGGGTTAGATAACCCCAGGGGAGTGGCTCTCCAGAAGGGGCTGCTGGAATGGGCAGCGGGTGATGTTTTCCCCACAAGCACAGGGCCTGGGGGCCCGTGGAGCAGACTGGCCAGTAGGCAACTTGGTCACCACACACAGTGTCCACATGGGTGGGGGGCGGACGGGCCAAGTGGTCCCCTCTGGCTTTGCACGACAGTGAGTCCAGAATCCAGACACTTAGGCTGGAGGCGCTCAGGTGCCTCCCGGACACCCGGGCTCATCTCTTCCCACGTAATGCACCCTGGGGCCCCTGACACGACCATTCTTGGTTTTTCTCAACAGACAACAGGCGTGGATTTGGTGGTAAAGACAGTTCCAGTCCCTGACACGGGGGACAGTGTGGTAAGTGGGGCCCTTGACTCGAGGGCAAGCGTGTCTGGTCCCCATGAGAGACGCAGTGGCAGAGCTTCCCCTCGATTCGGTCGTGGACCATCCCAGGGAGGGGCTGAGGAAGGAGGCCTGGGATATGGCCCCTGTCCTCCCAGAACTTACCTAATCCCCAGGAGATCCATGACTCTGGATATTGAATTATAAGATACTGTATTTTTTTTTTTTTTTGGTACTTCCCCAGAAAAATGGTTAAAGAATCACCAGATTCTGAAAAAGAGTTCCCTGGGCCGAAAACAACTTAAAGTGCCCCCAGTGTGGTGAGCAGGAAGGCGGCTCGTGTGCAGACTCCCCCACGCAGACCAGACTGTGGTGCCGCCGCAGGCCCAGCCAGCACCTAGCGAGGGGGCAGGGCCGGGGCTCCTGTGGGCTGGCCGGGGCTGGCCAGGGCCCGAAAGGGTCGGAGTCACACCTTAGCGGTGGCAAAGCCATCCCTGACTGGCCTACTTTAACGCCTTCCCTGGGCCTGCTCCGTGACCTCCTTTAAAAAGAATTGTTTTAAGATTTGAAAATCAATTTGGTTAACAAAGTGCAGAATGACCTTTCAGAAACCCGAGTGTGCTTGTCAGCCTGTTTAGCATTCTGTTCTGCCAGGTGGGAAGGCGGCCTGTTCCTGGTAGTCCTGCTCCGGGGTTCGGGAAGGGGAGGCCTGCTGCCGACCCCGTGCCGCGGGGCAGGCAGCGTGTGCGTGAACGCGCGTGTGGGCCCACCTCGGCGCCGGGCGGTCTGCAGTGAGGACTGGCGGGGCGGCCCTGGCCTCCCCCCACGCCGATTCTTGGGACTTGCCTCTCTGATTCTAGGAGCTCTTCATTTTCGACTCTGCTGGCAAGGAGCTGTTTTCTGAAATGCTGGATAAACTGGCAAGTAGCGTGGGATCTTATCCTAACCACCAGCCCTCACCGCCCTCCTCCTGCCAAAACGTTTGCCCCCTTGCAGTGTTCTCACAGAAATTTCACTGCAGTCTGGCCACCAAGAGAAACCCCGTCAGCCAGGGGTCTCTGAGGGGCGTTGCTCCCAGCTGTGGGCCTCGTGGCCTCTGTGGGCAGGCAGGGGTGGCGCCTCTGGATGGGCCAGGGTCCAGATGTGCCAGAGCTGTGGGCCTCTGTCCCTGCAGCCCCCCCCCCCCACTCTCGGTGCCCCTTCTTTGGAGCCACTCCCTCCTGATGGTGGTCTTTCAGCAGCGCTCCTCAACCTCTGGGACAGGAGCAAGCATTTCCCTCTCTAGAGAGAGCCCAGAGGCCCCGTAGTAAGACTCCCCTTCCCAGCCCCCTGGTCCCACCAAGGTTTGCTTGGATCCTGCTGCTGCCCAGAATCCAGTTTGCTGTCCCTTCCAGGGTAGCAGCTCCGCTAATCGGGGCCAGTGAGCTAATTAGAAGGCTGGAGCTCTCCAGAGCCTTCCCTGCGCTTCCAAGATCAGCCACGTGTAATAGAAGCGGTTTGCTGCCCCTTCTTCGTTGTCTAAGAGAAATAGATCCAGTGGCGGTCATTTCACACAGGGTTGGCTCCCACGCGGCCTCTTGGTGTTTGCCAGGTGCCTACTGTGCGCACAGCCTGCCCCGCAGAAGGGGACGCGTGTTTGGGCCACGTGGTGGTTGGTCGCACCATCCCCCCAGCCAGCCCTGACTCTGTGCCCTCGCTGCGGGGCCCAGCTCCTTCTGGCCGGGTCTGCCTGAGGCCTGGAGCAAGGCGGTGTCTCCCGCAGGCACAGAGGGGGTGGTGTGGTTCCGGAGTTCTAAGTCTGCGGGGTCCACAGTTCAGCTCAGCTCTCTGCACTCAATTTCTTCACTGATACCTAAGGATATTCAGACCAGCCCCAAAAGTTGGGCTGTTTCCTGGTGATGCACAGAGCGCATGCAGGAGCCCAGCGCAGGTGTGAGCCTGCCCCCCACCTCGCCCTGCCCACCCCTGAGTCCAGTCGCCCATTCCTTTGGGGGAGCTGTTTGCCTCTGTGGGTGCAGCTCAGCTCTCTGACTCGCGTCCCCTGTGGAGTGTTCCCTTCCCCTGGCTCGACCCTTCCCGGGAGGCCCGGTCTTTCACACCTGTGGGCAGCACTCACTGGCCCTCTTGCGCAGTGGGAGAGCCCGGACGTCTTGTGCCTCGTCTACGACGTGACCAGCGAGCAGTCCTTCCACAGTTGCAGCAAGTGGCTGCAGAAGGCTCAGTCCCAGGCCCCCGGCACCGCCCTCCCAGGTAGGCGCCGCAGGCATTCCAGGTTCCTGATCACACCTCCGAGGTCAGGAGTGCAAGGCCACCGCAGGGTGGCTGCCGGCGCCAAATGGGGGTGCCCTGGGCTTCCAAGGTGACCCTGGCTGGTAGCCGCCATGGGCGCCTCTGTGAGTGGGTGAAATGGGCACGAGGACACCCTCCTGCAGGGCTGTGGGGAGGCTCCAGACAAAGGGGGGAGGTGCTGTCACGTGACTGTGAGCTATTCTTTCCAGAAAGCCGACCCCAGGGAAGAGTTCCTCATTTTCTCCCATATGCAGGGCACAAGTAAACATTCGGGTCCTGTTGTCACTTCTGAATGCTTTAAATCAGTTTATTTTTCATCCCTATGTGAGATCGACAAATTCTCCTCATTATGGACCAGGGAAAGCGATCTCCAGAGACAGGCTCAGAAATTAGCTGCAGCTGATGCAGCTGGGAACCGAACTAAATTACCTCTGAATCCCTGACTCTGAGCCCAGTCCTTAGATTAGTATTAATGACCATTTTTAAAGTTTGCTCCATGTGCTAGGAATTAGCGCAAATGCCCTCGCCTTCACGGCTCCAGGAGCCCAGGCAGGCAGACAGATAAGCCGAGCGTGGAAAGCAAGGCCTCCCGCTCTGCTGTGAGCCTCAGGGGCACCCTGGAGCCCCGCACCCCAGCCAAACTCACCGCCTGGAACCAGCAGCCTCATGTAGCACGTCTTACACCCCTCGAAACTCATGGGCTTGCTCTTTTGTCTCCCCAGCTGTCCTCCCAGCCTGCCACAGTTAATGCGATGCTTTCTTTTGAGTAGGTGTGTTAGTGGGAAATAAGACAGACCTGGTTGGCAGACGTGCGGTGGAGTCAACACAGGCCCGGGAGTGGGCCCTGGGCCAAGGCCTGGAATGTTTCGAAACATCCGTGGTAAGTGCGCAGCGGGCCCGTGCCGCAGCGTCCTCTCCCATGACCTCGCGCACCGAGTGGTTGTTCCACCATATGCAACGTCTAATTTGGAACTGATGTTTACATTCTTAGCCCAAGAGCTGTTCTCAGCATAGCAAGAGTCACTCGGGCATTACAATAAAGCCGATCAGCCAGCCCGCCCTGGGAAAAGTTGTATCTGCACCAGTGAGGAATACGAGTGTGTTGTGTGATTACAGGGACCCCATGGGTGACGGTGTCAGGGCGTTCTTTCTGAGACCCATGCCATCTGTCCTGGGCCCACCTCCATGTTGAGCTGGTGAAGGACTTGCCCAGGGTCACATGGCAAGTAAAGGGTGGAGCCAGGACCAGCATTGCGGTTCGAGGTCCCTCCAGTGCTCCTATCCTTATCTCCGCTGCCCCCGGGGCTTCCAGGCCCCAGAGCGCCCTCCAGTCAAGTCAGGACCCTTGTCCATAGGGACCAAGAGTGACTTGTTGCCAGCACTTAAGTGCACTAGATCCTAATTTGGGGCATCCGGCGCTGGCAAATCCCCTTCCTAGTGGGGAGTTGTGAGGTCCCACCTTCCCAGCCGCCAGGGCGCAAGCAGGGTGTGAGCCAGGCTGCACAATCTCTGCTTGAACTTCGAGACGGAGGTCAAGTCTCTGTCAGGAGGCCCAGACTCATTTCAGAGCTCACAGGACCATCGCCCTGGCTGCGGCACATCTCTCCACGGTTGTGGGGAGACATGCCAGGCCCACGCGTCCTGAGGCAACTGTAGTCGTACTTGGGCCTCACTGTGGGGCTTGTTGTCTCTGGACCTGATGCTTCGGCCTCCAGAAGAGTCACAGGGCTAGTGAATAAATAATAAACTCAGACTCCACTTAAGCTTCAGGCACGTCTGTTGTTGCCCATCCAAAATCTGACAAAGACTGCTGTTCAGGCCCCCCCCAAAACATACACACACTGCAGGGTGCTTTAGGAAGATGTAGGGAGTGAAGACAGCAGGTGTTAGGACCTCTCCGTGAGGCGCAGAGCTGGCTGTGGGGTCTCCACAGCCGTGCTCCTCCCTGTCTTACTGGAGACTCAGCCGCTGCACCTGTGAAATGGGGAACGTCCCCTCACAGGGCACTAAACGTGAGGATTAAGTCAGATGGCGAATATCAAAGCTCTTAGTGCCAGGCCTGGTGCAGTGAACACTCGGTAAACGTTGGCTGTTTTAGTACAGCGTATTCCCCCTCGGAATCTTGTTTGTACTGTCATCACTTAATTCTCATATTCCGAGACCATACAAAGATAAATGTCACTCCTGCCTCTGGCCCAATTATCACCAATGCTAAATTAATGAAGGCCAAATTAATGAGTTTTTGCTGGGTAAAGGCTTTCGTCTTCAAGGCAGCGTGCCTTTGAGCAGTCAGCCACGGCCCACGGGAGAAGGTCTCCCACGCCCCCTCGGCCCCCCTCATGTTGAGAAAGTGCCTCCTCACCCCAGCACCCCATAGTCCCCAGAATTAACACCCTCCCCAACGTGTCAGTCTCCGCAGGCCGCTGGCCGCCTGTCCCTGCTCCGCTCAGGTGTCTGTCGCTGCACTTTCCAAACGGGTGGGTATAAATCATGCTTGAGGAGGCTGCGCTTAAGCACTTGGTATTAACTGTGCAAGTTAACTAGTCCCCCCTGAGTTGATGCAACAGAAGCACCACTGGCAGCCCAGTTAAGAAAGCTGTTAATTAAAAAGGAAATATAACCAAATGCTGTTTGAGACGCCGCCAAGGCTTGACACCAAACCCATCCCTTCCTCCTCCTGACGGCAGCAGCGGTCACTCTGCAGACCGGAAGGAGGGCCCGACTGGTCACTTGGCTTTCCTTTGATCAGCTTGGATTCTGTCCCCAGAACTCATTCATCCTAAAACAGCAAATTTGGGCCCCTTGATGGCCTCCTCCTACTCCCCTACCCACCTCCCCAGCGACCACCAATCTGATCTCGTTCTGCATCCAGCCCAGGTCCTGCATCTAGGGCAGTGGCGCAGCAATTGCCTGCCTTCCTTGGCCTCGTCACTGGGCACAATGCCCTCATTTTCTTCGTGGCTGGGGGAGGGCCCATGGCTCATGTCGTCATGTGCCCCTTGACATCTCCCCCACCCAGGGTGGGCTGCAGCGGCCCCCAGAAGCTCTGCCGTGTGGCCCGGGTGCTGCCCCCCCATCGCAGTCGCAGGGTCCGCACAGCAGTGAGCCCCCTAACCTCAGGCCGCGTCTCCATCCTTAAGTGGCCGTCGTTGCACGTCTCAGCCACCGATGCCGCCGGGAACTTGAAGGTGCAGGTGTCTCCTCAAGATAGCGGGTTCATTTCCTTGGCTCTGTCCCCAGAGGCAGGGAGACGGGGCCACGTGGCAGTTCCGTTTTCAGTTTTTTTGAGGAGCCGCCATGCTGTTCTCCACAGTGGCTGCTCCGGTGACGTGCCCGCCGGCCCAGGTCCCTTCCGCCACACCCTCACCAGCGCTGTTCTCACTGCTCTTTTGAACCCTAACCATCCTCGTAGGCGCGAGGTGGTCATTCCCGGGGTGATCAGTGATGTCGAGCGCCCCCCCACCCCGGGCCCACTGGCCACTTGACCGTCCGATTGGCCCATCGAGGCGCACGCAGGTCAGACCCGGGCCCAATGCCAGCGAGTTAGGCTCTCAGCGAGTCACCGTTCGCTCCGAGTCCCCGGCTCCTCCGGGCCCAGCGAGGGTTGCTGTGGCACAGGGCAAAGTGTGTGCCCACGTGAGGTCAGCGCTGAGCGGGTGCTGCTCTCAGCTGATGAGTATAAAAATGTTGAACCGGTTCTGTGAACTTGCCTCTGCAGAAGGAGATGGAAAACTATGAAGCCCCCTTCCACTGCCTGGCCAAGCAGTTCCACCACCTGTACCGGGAGAAGGTGGAGACCTTCCAGGCGCTGGTGTGAGGGCGGGCGGCCTGCTGGCGGCAGCCAGGCGGAGCTGCAGGAAGCTGCAGTGCCTCCGTCTCCCCAGAAGGCGAGAGAAGATGAAAGTGCCTTGGGGCCTCCGGTGTATCCTGACAGCTTCAAATAAAATAGGAGACAATGCAGAAGCAACAGCCCCTTCATTCCTGGCCAGGGTGGGCCCTGGATCAGCCACCCGGGGAGCACCGTGTGTTGGGCCCTGTTGGTATACAGCCTGGCTGGGCAGCATGGGTGGCCCTGCCCTCCAGAGGGCCTTCCACTGAGAGCAGACCCTGCTGTGGTACCTGAATTTGTTCACAACTGGCTACAGCCGGATGCCCAGCTGGCAGCATAGCACTGGCTGAGGGGGCCGACTGCCGCCCCTCCTGACAGGCTGGGCTCCAGGGGCCCCTTGAGGTGCCCACTGTCACCGGCAACATAGTGCCCTCTGCCGGCCGCCCGCCGGAGCTGCCTCAGGCAGGCCCAGCCCCTCCCGCTGCCGGGAACCCTGCTGCCAGGGAGCCAAGAACCAGGCCACTGGGCTTCGGTGACCCGCCTTTCCGTGAGCGGGCGGCCGGCACCATTCCTCGCACTGAGCCTGACTGTTTTCCATCCTGTCTCTGCTGCCAGATTCATCTTCCTAAAACACCACTTCCATCCTTCACTCCCCTGATTAAAGACCCACAGAGCTTCCTCTTTGCATTCCTCTTCAGGGCAGCGTGCCAGCTCTGGCCGCCCTCTGACTGTCCCTGGAGCCCGGAGGGTCTCGGCTTCTTCCCAGCCCAGCACCTCAGGGGCGCCATCAGCCGCCCTCGGGCCCCCACCTGCTGGGCGGCAGTGGGGGGCATGGTGCAGAGAGCCCTTGGGGCAGATGGGTGATGGCAGACGGGTGGTGACGGTCATGGCCCTTGCTCTGGTCGCTGCTGACCGTCTGCCATGTCCCCCTACCAGCTGAGCAGTCACATACACTGGCTCTTTCACTCTCGCCGCCGCCTCACCACCCCACTTGTGCAGGTGAGCAGCCAGAGTCAGAAGTCACTTGGCCAAGGGGTGCCGAGGCAGGACCACGGCGCGGCGCCCGGCTCTGGCTCCGGTGCTGCCTCTCCTGCGCCCTCCCCGAGGCGGGTGGGGGTGTCTGCGCCTGGAGAGGGTGGGCTGCCCTGAGGGCAATGTGAGAAGGGAAACCTCCCATCCCCTTGCTCTTCAGGCACTCAGCGTGAGGCCGCGAGGCCATCCTGAGTCATCCTTGCAGAAGACGGGGGCCTGGACCTGCGCGGTGCCGGGCGCATTTCCCGCTCCCCACTCGCAGGTCATGCGTGCCGGGGGGAAGGCCAGAGCAGCCGGGGACGCGCAGAGGAGACGCTTGCAGTCAGCCTGGAATTACTGGAACCTGCAGGTGGGGACAGTGCTCAGGAGCCCGCTTCCTGAAGAGATCGCAAGAGGCCGGGCCAGACACCGTCCCCCGGCCTGACAGAAGGCCCGGCGGCGGGAGCCGCCCTCGTCCTCAGCTCCCGGCTCCTCCCCATTGAGATGAGAGGAGGGGTGTGGTAGGTAGGTCGGGTGTTGGCCAGTGTGGCCACCCTCCCTGCCCTGCTTCACCCCCGGAGCAGGCAAAGGGACCCCACGGGAATCCTGAGACTGAGGATGCCGGCGGAGAGGAAGTGGGCCCCGCCCTCCCCAGCTGGATGCTGGCAGAGCTGTGCCAGGGCAGGGTGCCAGGGCGTACTCGGGGCGCTTGACCAGTGTCCCCCGACGGTACCTGCCGAGAAGAGAACTACCACCGGCAGAGAGAGTAGTCGTCCCCCTCCGTCCCGCGTGAGCCTCAGGCGTCTGATGTCAGGATCCACAAAAGGAGGTGATTGGCTCCCCGGACAGGTGCTGGGCAAAGGAAGCTGCTGCCTCCCACCTGGAAAAGTGGGGGCCTGTCCTGCTGGTAGGGCTAAAGGGGGATATGACTACCCCTGCAGAGGTGACACCAGCGTCAGAGAAGACAGCCCCCCCCAATCGCCAGGCACCCCTTCTCCACAGGGATGGAGCAGGTGGACACAAACCACGAGCAGAGCTACCAGGGGCACAGAAGAAGTGCACCCCACTCTCCTCCCTCTGCTCCAGGGCTCTCCAGAGGGAGGAAGAGCGAGAGCTCTTGCTCCCTGCCTCCCATCCCTTCGGGAGAGGCTCTCGGAACCAAGGCTTGGAGTCTTGCACAGGCCTGGCCTGAGGTCCGGTAACTAAGAGTGTCTGGAATGTGTCAGGATCTGCTTCCCACAGGCCTGGCAGGATGGGATGAAGCTATGAGGGAGAGCTGATGGTTTAGGTTCAGAGCCCACTGAGTGGAGACTCCCCATTGAACTGGTCCAAGTAAGTGAATGATTGCAGTAACTCCAATGCCAAATGCGGTGTAGACAATAAAATGGAGTTGTGACATGTGGTGGTTTGTGGTATAACTGTGTAGGATTGGCAGAACTTTCTCGGAGGAGAAGCAACGTTTGAGCTGAGGTCTGACAGCCATGTGACCAGAGGGGGCAAGAGCCAGCCGGACAGCAAGGAAAGCAGGTGCAAAGGCCCTGGGACAGGAAGCCTGGAGCATCAAGGAACTCGAGGCAGTGATGGGCATGGTCTGGGATGTGCCAGGAAAGCAGATGGAGGTGAGGCAGGCAGGGACCTGGCTGGGAGGAACTTGGGTTTTATTGCAACAGCACCAGAAGCCAGTGGAGGACACACATCAAGCTTTTATACCGTGTAGCGTGCAGCACTGTTTTGGGGACCTAGCAAGTGGCTGTGAGGTACTTGACTTCCCTGAGGACCCCCTTCTCAATGAGCAAGCATTCACACGCAGTCTGCTCTGCAGATTTATTCGTTCACCATCTGCTGAGCACTCGTGAACTGTCCCCGCTCTCAGAGCTGGAGACTCGTGGGTAAAACAAAAGTGCCTGCCCTCAGGGAGCTTACATTCTAGTGGGGTCAGGAGCTAACCAGGGATACTACACAGCCTGACAGCTGGCAGCAGAGCGGGGAGCACCAAGGGTGTGCAGGGAGGGGGTGGCAATATGAAGAAGGGAGTTCTGGAAGCCTCCCTGAGAGGCTGACAGGCAAGGTTTGCAGGGGGCAGAGCGATCCCTGGGCATGGTTGGCTCGTTGGCCGCCAGAGGTGGGGACAGCCATGGCCCAGCTCCCGTTGTCTCCCCCCAGTGCCCACATGGGCACTTGATGAGCACGTGGGAGGGCGAGCTGACGGGGAGCCCAGTCCTGCCCTGGGAGTATCTGCAGGCCGCAGAGGAGAGAGAAGAGCCAACGCCTGCCTTCTAAACCTGGGGTCCCAGCTGCGCGGAGGGCATAGGAGCCGCCATTTCTCCCCTGCCTCCTTGGGGGCTGCAAAGGGGGGGTCTGCCCATACCCTCCAGTTTCTGTCCTGCGAGGATATTGCGGGCGGGCCTGGCCTCCTGAGTTCTCGCCCTGGCTTGGTGACGCATCTGCCTTCACTTTTGCTGGCCCCTGGCAGAGCTTGGGTTCACCCACCAAGGGGGCCAGGAAGCCCAGGCGAGCAGGAGGGTGGGAGGCCCAACCGGTTCCCCACTTCACACACGAGGCCTCCCTGACACGGGCACTTTCCTTGCCGAGTTCCTTGCCGGCAGCTCTCCACGGAAGGGTTCCCTGTTCAGAGGCGCCATCCCTGGACCAAAGGGTTCACCCTGACACTGCTCCCCCACAAGAGCTGGCCCTGGGGTGGCTGGGGAGGCGTGTTGATGAGATCACCTCCAGTGGGGAGACAGGCAGGTGGTCTACATAAAACCCATCCACTGTGGAGCAAAAATTTCTTTTTAAAAATGGAATAGTGAACACTAAGCATTTCCGAACCCAAACTGGGATGGCACAAAGCAAAATTCAATGGCACCCAGAATGGCAACTGAGAACTGCAGTAGCCCAAGGCTCTGGGAGGAAGGGAGAGCCCATCCTGGAGAGAGAAGCCGTTGCCCACACACCCTGTTCCTGAGTCCGTCTCCATGCAGGGGTCCCTGCTGCAGTTGGGGATGACCATGGCGACGGCCTGAAGGGACTCCAGCCTGACAGGCAGGGAGGGTTTCCAGGGACCTGATGCTAGACAGGGAAGGGTGTTCCAGACAAGGGAACCGCACGTGCAAAGGCCCTGAGGCATGAAACTGGAAGCCCTCTTGGGGAGTCGTGTCTACAGTGTAGAATGAGGAGGGGGGTGGTTCATGGGCCCTTCAGAGGTGAAGACAGCTCCCACTTTCCTCCCCCAGCAGGGTGCAGAGGCGAGAGGCTGGAGAGAAGGGCAAAGCCAGAGTGTGGAGCTTTTTGTACACAGAGCAGAGGAGCTGGATTTCTTCCAGGAGGCGTGGGAAGCGATGAAAAGGTTTTAGCAGAAGTGAGTCACCTGGATTCCTGCCTTAGCAGCGCCTCGGAGGGTGCAGTGAGAGCGGAAGGTGAGCAGACCAGGTAAGCCATGTCACGCTGATGGGAGATGGGTGAATCCTGTGGCGGGGCGGTGGGGGTGGGGTGTGTTTGAGGGGGAAGCTGTACCTGCCCAGCACTAGCAAAACCTGGAGAATGTTTCCAGCCCAACTCCAAGTTGTCTGCTCTCCCTCCCACCGAGAACACCGGCCGCCTTGTTTTAATGTGTTTTCCTTTATTTACTTAAGACAGAGACCACAGCGCGAGGGGGGACTTGTTGTGCTTGCAAGTTGTTAGTGGCGGGGCCCGGGCTGAGCACTGTGGGGTTTATATCCACGTACACCGCGCTTCCTGCTGCGGGACAGAGCTGATAAATGTGCAGAGGGCGGCAGCGGGCGCTTGTTTCCTTCCCGGAGAGGCGAGGAGACTGGGAAAGCTCATTAGGAGAAAATATCGACCAGTTTCACCTGTGACGCGAGGGGAACGTGCATTTTTCTCAGTCATTGCATACTGGGTCCTGGGCAGAAGGGGGTGACTCCAGAGTGGAGCCTGGCGGTGGGCACAAGACCAGGGAGGGGCCAGAGACGGTGTCGGCTCCTGGGGGAGAGGGACCCCATCTGAGCCTCTCGAAGCAGCCAAAGCAGCCGAGGTTTAGTAGGGACAGCACTGGCTTCCCAGTGAAGGAGTGGCATGGAGTAGCTGCTGTGTGCCCATCGGCAAGGCACACACCTCTCTGGTCGCCAGGACCCCCATTTACCACTGCG